CCGCTGTGGCCGCACCGTCGGCCTCTAGGACTGGGGACGGCCTTGGGGCAACCCCAGGCCAGGGAAATGGGGCGGGAAGGGCCGGTGCGGTGCCACGTTGCCGCCGCCTGGCCTTGCTCTGCCCCGCCGTGTGGGGGCCGGAGCTGGGGAGGGTGGGCCTGTGTCGGGGAGCCTGGCCGATGGATCCCGCTGTGGCCGTTAAGCTTATTAAAGCGTATTCTCTCAAAACCGTGCTTTGCTCGGAGTTCCTTAGATACTCTTGTTTGGTTTACTCCCGAGTTTAAGATGTTTTTCTTTGGTTTGCCCGGCTGGTGGGGTGAAATCGATACTGGATAGGCTGAGTGCAGCTGAATCCTGTTCTAAAGAGCATCCTGAAAGCTGATCACTGTATTTTTAGTGTAGTTTTGCTCGGGAAACTTTTAATTTTCCACGTTTAGCATCATATTGGTTCACTTTTGTGATTCAAGAAAGTAGGCGGGGAGGATGTTGGTTTGCCTTTGGGATTTTAGTATAGACAACTCCTTTCTAATCAAAAGCAGGCATCTCACCATGATGACTGTCACTGTAGTGTCATGTTCCTTGCAATTGTGCTGAAAAGTTTCCTAGAGATAGGCAAATGGAGCCTTCCACTTTGTTGTCATTAGTTAATTCATATGCTATTACACTTGATCACATTTGCATGTGCACGTTATTTTGTATGTACTGACTAGATGTGCATTTTCTCATCCCTTAGAGTCTTAGAAATATCTAACTTCTTGAATTGCAACATCTGGCAGACTGTTGTATAAGGTTTGAAAGGAATGCTAATTAACATCTCTAATATCTTTTGAATGTGAATGATGATAAGTGGCAAGTAACATTGACTGCACTCTTTACCACTCTTAATGCTGTAGCAACAGGTTTTCCCTTTGCCATGCCAGCACAAAGGTTTATGCAGTTGCTTGGTGGCTGACATCAGGGAACTGGCCTGAAATTTTTTAAAAAATAATTCTGGTGGAATTATTTGTACTTGGATCTATTCCTTGATCTGGTTTGCAATGAAGTTGCACAAATAGTGTGCTGACACAGTTCAGTGCCCAGTGCCAGAGTAGGAAGAAGCGGCTGGAGGAAAGGGTTGGGTGTCAGTAGCATGTTCTGTTCAAAGCTGTTTGCCAAGCTAGGCCCTCAAAGGGGTATCCACGAGTACATCTAGGACTGTCTCTGCTGCAGGTGTTCCGCTAACTAAGATAAAAACCAAGTGAGGCTTCTGAGTATCAAAATTTTCTTTAAAATGTTGTCTGTCATTTTTATTTGACATGACAGATGAGATGCACATAAGGCGCTTCCCAGGGCAGTGGTGGAGTCCCCACCCCTGGAGGTGTTTAAAGAGTTGGATTGACATAGCACTTAGGAATATAGTATAGTTGAGAATGGTCCGTGTTAGGTTAATGGTTGGACTGGATGATCTTCAAGGTGTTTTTCAACCTAGATGATTCTGTGGTTCTGTAAAGTGCAGCACCCGGCATTTCGCCTTATTGAAACTCCTCCAGTTGGCCTCAGCCCATGGCTCCAGCCTGTCCAGGTCTCTCTGCAAAGCCTCCTTGCCCTCGAGCAGATCAACACTCCCATCCAACTTGGTGTCATCTGCAAACTTACTGAGAGTGCACTCAATCCCCTTGTAGATCAATGACTTCAAGCTAAGGTTTTCTGACATGTCATACTGGAGCTTCTTTTAGCACCACAACCTTCTTTGAGGAGTAACAGATCATTTCCTTGTAGAGTGATAATCAGGCTATCTCTTCAGACTTTTGTAGTTCAAGAAAGAAGTACTGATCTTGCAGACAACATGCTCTCAACACCTACCATGTCTACAAATGATAGCGTCCCACCGATCAGCAGTGAAAGCTTGACAGTCACCCACTCAGGAACTTACCTTAATTCTTTAGGATTAGGAAGCCTTTATTGCACAAATGTAAAAGACACGATGTTTGAGTGTAGGTCACAAGAATTCCTTAAGTGCAGGGTTGGAAAAACAGCAAGTGAGTGAGGACGAAAGCAGAGTTACTGTTCATTAGTATCACTTCACCTGTGGAAATATTGTTTGGACATGAATAAGGATCAGGTACTCTTAAGTGTGTGGATGTGTATTACACAAGGGACCATGAATGGGTAAGAAACGATGGTGGTAAGAAGGGAGACTAGAAGGGTTAGTCATACAATAAATATAAACAAACAGCTGCACACAAGTGTGTTTTTGGCAGTTGAGTATGTAAATCTTAAGTGGTTGGTATTCTGCATCCTGTTTCTAATCATTGTACCTGTTTCTGGTTCAGAATTTTGTCCTGTTAATTTGCACGGGCATTTGACTTACATGTACTTTAAAGAGGAATAGATTCCCCCCTCCCTTTATTAGTAAGGCATAATTGTTAGCACAGGCAGCTACAGCTTTTGGGTTTTTTTGTTGTTACTTAAATGTGCATATCAAATATAGCCCTAAGATATTACTCCAAAATGTATTTCTTTATTCTACAGAAATCTGCTGAGCCCTTGCCTCAAAGTACATCATAGATGCATAAAATCCTAATTCTGTGAAAAATTTTCTGTAATTGAAAACTGTACAAATTATTTGTAACTATTTTTTTAAAGTTTGAGGAGATGGCTTTTGTTACACCCTTTTTTTTTTTTTACAGTCTGCATGTTAAAATAAGCCTATTGCTGATCTTGATATTAAATTACTCAAATAACATTGAGTTATAATTATTGGTGACTTTAATCCAGTAATACTTGTACTTTAATTTTAAATTGGAAAGCCGACTAGATGAAAGTGCATGTTTCTACTATTTTTAGCTCCACTAAAGTGCTGAAAATGTTATGGTACCTGAGGGAAGACCACAGAGGAAGAAAGTATGTGCTTCTGGTCTCTTCATCCAGAAAAGGATATGTTATAACTGCAAAAAGTTCAGAGAACTTCAGCTGGGCTGAAGAAGAGTCCTGCTTCTGCACGAGGCCACTGAGGAGGCCAAAACTGAAAAAGAGATGACAGACCCACAAAATCATTAAACAGCATGGAGATGGGGTTAAGTACTCATCATCTCTTCCAGTACAGCAATATAAGCTAACTAGTAGGAGATGAATTCAAAACAAACAAAAGGATGCAGTTCTTCATGCAACATGTAATAGGGCTGTTCCCATGCCAGGCAATACTGTGTATGCAAGAAGTTTACACTGTTATAAGGAGAGTCTGAACAAGTACTTGGAAGAGATTTGTTGAAGGAAGAGGCGTCAGTAAATACACAAATTTCTTCAAGCTCACAAAGTGTTCTGACCTGAAAATATTTGGCTGTTGGAAAGGTGCAGAAGTAGTATCATGCGCACTTGCCCCATTCTTACTCTCCCCTAAGCATCAGGTTACTGTGAAATTGATGTTTTCTTTTGTGGGGAGAGTGGATGGCTTAAGATATTTTCTTACTCCAAATACATCATCAGGTAGCAGGCAAGCATGACAGTGTTGTTGATAGAGACTATTCCACAAAGGGAAGGGAGCCCACTTGCCAGCAGCCAGGGCTAGGAAATGTTTTCCCTCCAGCAGTGATCATCACAAGGGGCAGGATGTATGGAATGTGTGGCATCCTCAACACTTTCACTATGAGAGTGTAGGTTCAGTACTTCTACTAGTCCCTTGAATCATGAGTGGACTTTAATTCAAAGAAAAGTCAGGTCTTGTAGCTTCTGCAAGGATTTGTGTTGATGCATGGACTTGACACAGATGCACTCTTCTCAGCTTCCTGCTGGTAGTTGTGTTTTCTGTATGGAAAAAAGAAAGTCCCATTCTCCTTTTTGTCTAAGATACAGCAGGTTCTTCCATTCATGGCAGAAACAGACCCCCATCTGACTGTGGTAACTGCACTGGCTAAGCACACACCATCCCAGTGCTTTGGTACTGGTTTTCTGTGGATGTTTTTCTGTCTTAATCAGCTTTATGGTGAGATTTAAGGCAGTTAAAATCAACAGCAGGTACAACCTTTTTGCCACTGATGTCTCCTATGAGCCACATATGGCTCCCTCCTGCACAGGAACACCAGTTCTTTCTGCTACTAGTCAGACCTCACACAGGCAGTGGCTCTTCGTGTCTGTTGCTCCAGCCTATTTTAAAGGAGAAATAGAGCCCACCTGAAGGAAGGCCTTAGCTCTTTCTGTTCTGTAAGAGCATCTTGCTGCAGGATGGGTATCTCCAGCACAGTTGTGATGACTCTGGTTATTGTGGGGTATGAAGCTAATTGAGAACTTGAGGCACTAGGTATAAATTGGCCATAGACATCTCCTCAGACGTCATCTCTTTATGCTCTTAAAGCAATCAGTTTTGTGGACTGGTTAACTACAGTTAACACAGTGAGAAGAAACCCAGAATATGTTTATGGAAGTCTGATGATCTGGAGCTCCTTTGCTGTTAGCTACCCAGAAACTGGCTAAGTAAGGTGTGTTTGTTAGTGGTGGCTTTTACGTGTGGAGTGAATTAGGCTAATTGAGAACATAAACTGAAAAAGTCAAATACAGACACTCGTTTACTTGGTCCTTAACACCAGTGCATTATGAATATTTGTTCAATACGTTAATGCTGGCTTTGATTTGAAAGTAGAGGCCAGCTTGTGTTTTGAGTCCTGTAACATAGTGCTTTCCCTTTTTCATTCTAAACCTCTTATTGTAGGATTCTTTCTAACATATTTTGCTAGACATTACCAAAACTAATTATAATTAATTATCCTACAGCTTCTACTAATATAAAAAAAAATGACCTTAACATTACTCACAATTTACCTTCACTACTGAATTAAAAATGCTTAAGGAAATTCAGGAAACTGCACATTCTGTGAAGAAATCACTTTCACAGGAAATGTTGCAGCTCTTAAGCTTTTCTTTTGGAGAGAACATTTACTGTTTGATCTCCACCAGTTCAGGGTGAGACTTGGATGGAAACACATTTTACAGTGCTTATCTACAGCGTCTCCTTCACTGGTTTTGAGGAGAGGATATTCAAACTGGGTTGAAATCACCTAGGCTGGCCTTGCCTGACCCCGTTCGGAGGTGGAGGGTTTATGTTATCTTTAACGTGGGAAGGGGTTGGAAGTCTGAGTCTCTCTGTTGAATCTAGTTCACCTTTGGCGCTATGCAGGTGTCCAGAAAAATACTTCTCCAGGGGAAGAAACAGACTTCAGTCACATTTCTTAATGTTTTTTAAAACCTAACCCCCACCCAGCAAAGAAGAGAGGAAAGATTCAAAGCCAGTGTGTGAGGGTGCTGTAGCAGTGATACATTAGTTACTTGGGAGGTGTTACTTGTTAGGAATGTTTTGGTTCCTTTTAATATGGTGGATTTTCCTGCTTTCTTTGACACAAAGTATCTTGTAGAGAATAGATGTTTAGAACTTGTCATCCTGCAAGATGCTGGGAATCTAGCCTAGTATTTAGCATTTAACATATGCTTTTCTTGCTGATTTATTTTTATTCTATCAAAGCTAGTGGGATGGACTGTTAAGAGTGAATAGTTAGAATGACTAAAAGCTCTTAACAACCAAATCTTAATGATGGGACTTCATTGTAAATGGCATTCATTTCTTGGTAATAATTCTGAAAAATCTTTAGAATGAGATAATACTGTGTATTTGACAGCCCAAGTGGTTTATGCAAGAATTGAATTGCTTAAGCCTCTGTGGCTCATGGGATGAAGTCTTAATTTACCACATTTTAATTTAATGGATAATTAAATCTTATGCAAAGCAGCCTGCCCTTTTTAGCTATTTAGCTAATTAGTAATGAATTTACCTGGGGAGAAGGGAACATTGTAGGTTTATTATCTAAAATGTCCAGAAAAAAACTCATATAGACATCACAACTCTTTGCTTGCATGATGTGAAACTGGAAAATTCTGACCTTTGCTTTGTTCCAACAAACTTTGTGTTTAGAGGAGCACTTTTGAGATTTAAGTGTCAAATTCTGCTTTGAAATACATAAACGACTCTCATTAAACTTACAGGTAGCCACATATTAGTACAGTAGGGATTACAGAATTTGGTTGAAATTTAAAAATATTGTGGATTAAAAGCATTGTGAGTTGCTTTAACATTAATGACATAAGCTTTCTAAAGAACAGAAATAGCATCCAGTGTTGCAGCCCATGCTGCAGCTTGTTTATTTAAGGTTATGCTTTGATGCCTATTACATGGATTTGGGCTGTGTTTAATTCAAAAATGTTTTTCTCTCACTTATATGTAAAAGAAAACTTTAGCAAGCTTTTTTCAGATTTTTTAAAAAATTATTGAACTATTTTGCATTCTATAGTTCAAGTACTTTTCATAGCTGGTAACAGTTTTGTTTTATGGCATTCAGGTAGGGTTTTTCTGAAGAAAAACAGGATTGTGGCATGCTTAAGGAATCCATAAGAAGGAAAGCTAATCTGATTTACTGTAATTACAGTCTAAAATCCCTTCTATTTCTGGTGTTCTTTCCTATGCTGACTTTTAACTGACCAAAGAGCCTGTATGGTAGGACTAAAGGAACATACCTTGGTAGGAGCTAGACATTTCCTGATCTCTGGGGAGTTACAATGAAGCACCTGCTTCTCTGCATCGGAAGCTTCTTTCTGTCTCAAGGTCAATTCCTTAGGAAATGATAATACTCCAGAGTACAGCCGAGTCCCATTCCCCTATGATAGTGTGATGCTGTGATGTACGATAAAAGAGGCAGAACGAGACCATTTAAGTATCAAATAATTTTTTTACCTAATCAAATCATATCTGAAGTGAAAATCGACCTGATACTGCAAATAAGGAGACATCACATCTATTTAAAAAACAAACAAAAAACTCCAGCCAGCTCACCAAGTAGTTTGGTGATAAGACATCATCTGCTTCTTTTTTGCCTTGCATCAGGAGTGTTACCTGCGTCTGTCTGGACAGGCAGTCATTTAACCTGTCTGCCAAACTTCAGTAGATCTCTAGACTCCGCAATTTCAGTGTTTGACTGACCTTGTTTCTACTAAGTTGTACAGGCTAAATTGAGTTGTTTTCTATACATGTCATATTTTCTTATACTTCTGATGATACTTATTTTTTCTTTTGGACCCTTTTTAGTAGCATGTCTTACCTGATATGCAGTGCCCGATGTGGACACTGTATTTCAATTGGGTGCTTGTTACCAGCACTAAGAAAAGCTTAGAGGTGACATGTCAGGCTAAAGTTGTCAGCCCCATTGTATTATGTCTTCCAGGAAAGTCATGTTCAGTAATACATAACTTCCTAAAACCTTAATTCTTCTTTTCCAGGTTATATGGAGTGTACCACCTTTAATGATATTACGGCATGCCATAAAGCTCGCATTTCCGAGTTGCAGCAACACAAGCTGCTTCTCTGCCAGACCTACAGCTGAACTTCTAGCTTTCTCTGGAAGAACACTGTATCTGTTTAAACTGACAGCTTCTTGACCCCTGCTTTTTATGATTCCTGTGTCTTTGTGAGTGGGAAGTGACCTAGGGTAATACTTTGCCCATTATGAATTCACAGATGCCTTCCTCTTTCAGCCTAGCTACTGATAGTCTTCCATCCCACAGATCCACTTGTGTCACACTTGGAGCATAACCTACATGAAGAATTGCTCACCTTAGGCTTTTAGATAAATCAAGACGTGTCGTGTGTGACCACAGAAAAAACTACAGCACAGCAGAGGGACGTGATCCCTTAGATTACCCCATTTCAGTCACAGCTCTGCCAGGCTGCTGCTCCTATGATCCCTCCGCTGTTCCCTGTAGCTATGGCGAATGCATTTAGAGTGCATGCAGGTTAAGTTCTGTTGACTGTTGCCAGCATAAAGGAACAGAGTTGAAAAAAGCAAACATACAGGTATTACACTTTCTGGGTCTTAGATGAGTTCTGCTGAAGTGGTCTTCTGGTGATGCATGCAGTTGTACCCAGTGATCTTTCACCATGTGCACAGGTTGCTGATGAGTTATTTCCTCTCATTAAAAAAAAACCCAACAAAACTCCCCAATACAAATATCTTGCCAATTTGTGAAATTAATGGACTAGCTTAATATTTTTAATGTTTCTGCTACCTACCAGTCTCATAACGCTGTATAAAATGGCATTTATTGGATGTTGACCAAAGCATAACTTGTCTGCTGCAATTTGAACTCTTGCTGTAGACTAACATTTCAGAATATGTTGCATCAATACTTTGTTTTCTTATCAAGATTTAAATTCTTTAAAATACTGAAAAGGTAAAGTGATGAGCTGGGACATATTCAAATTATTATATAGTTTAAAGCAAAATGGCATAGTGAAAAGATAAACATTATGTGCTTCAGCAACGTATTAACAGATCGTCATTTGATGCCCAAATATATGAAAGCATGAATATGGCTGACAGTTTTGGGGAGCGTAGCTCTGATAAATAGAACATGTGCTTCAGTTTCAAGGCTCAGTGGGTTTCACACAGAAACACTATGCCTGTGGTGGGCTAGGAGTGAACATATTGTGTGGCTTCCAAGTGATTCAGCACTGGTCTACCAGCAGTGAAGTAGAACCAGAATTGCTATAATCATCCACCAGAGGATCTAGCTTTCATGGCACAAGCTGTTTCTTTTCTTAACTACCAAGTGGCATGTAATAGGACTTAACAGGGAGAAAACAGGAGGAAAATAGCAGAACTGAAAAATTCTTGATACTTTTGCAAAGCTGGGTTTTTCTCACTTTTTCAGTTTAAAGAGCAGGAAAAAAAACCTGTGGCTTAATTCCAAGTAAACTGATAATTGTTTAAATGTCACTGACGGTTGATCAGATAAATTTTGCCATTTTAACAATTACATTAATTTTTATTTTCTCATAAGGTTGGTTAATGTGAAGTCTAGCTGGCAGAGCAAGCTGTATGATGTGACTTGAAAAAGTTGTCTGTGGAAAATGTTTTCAGGTCATGGAGCTGTGAAAGGCAATATAAGTGTGTAGGTAATACAGGTTAGGAAACAGTTTGGATATGCTCCTGTTCTAACTGTTATTGAATGACTGGATTAGGCCTGCTGTAGTGTTCCCAGGCAAGTTCACGGTGTATGACAGTCAGGGTTGTGAATGTACTGGTAGCCATTGTCATCCAAGCCCAGTGAATTGGAAAGGTCGTGTGACGAGAGAAATGAGGTCAGGCTGAGAATTGGCCATGCTAAGGGCTCAAGCAAGAGCAGTGAGAGGCTGGACCTGCCTGCTAAAATAATTGATACACAGTGAGAGTAAAGCTTTCTAGTTGGCCTTAACAATTCTGCTAAGACAGTGATCTTAGTACAAAAACAATTGATGGGATTGCTGATGTCACACTTTAAAAAAAACAACAACAACAAAAAAACAACCACATTTTTGTTTTATTGAGAAATTTTAACCAAATATGATCAGGTAACAAGCCAAAATCTTTAGGTACTATTTTTCTTTTCTGTGTTCTAGAAAACCAGGTTTTAAAACCTTTTTAAGTCTTGCATGCCTAAGCAAATTTGTAATTGACCTGCTGTTGAATCGGGGAGAAAAAAAGCTTCTGGGCACAGCATGTCATAGCTAGCAATATTAAATAAGTAAAGAACATGTCATTTTCCTCTTTCAAGCTACTATGATACAAAACAAGATTGAGTTTATTCAAGGTAATTTTCTATTAATGAAGTGACTGCTAAAATTTGATTCTATATATTCCTTCTGTGAGTTGCAAATGCTTTGGATCCTGTTGGTAGGTGAGCACTGATGCTAAGATAGCTTTGTCAGTGTATTACTAGGGATATTCTCAATATACTAGCCCATTGTAAATCCCTCTCATGCACTTATTCTAGAATAAAGATGCAGGAAGCAATACCAGTAATAATAACCAGTGTAAATGAGCCTTTGTAGAGCTCTGTGAAACCAGGTCTTTTTGAGCACTGCCATTTTATCAGCCTTTTTCTTTTCATTCTGCTCTGTCTTCTACTTCAGCTGTGTGTGCCTGGGTGAGTTTTTCCCTTTGAGCTGTTCGAGAAGTTATTATTTTCTTTAGTCCTTCTTTCTTGTCCCTTCATCTAGCGAGTTAAATTTTTGTCACAACAGGTTTGGAAAGGTGTTTAAATACTGAAGCTCAGTTAAGTTTATACTTTTGGTAAAAACTTGGAGATAAGGGATTGTTGGGTTCTCTGGAATTCATTGTTATAATTATCTTTGCTGATGTCTAATATTTTTTCCCAGCTATCTTTCAAAACAGTTACTTGTGACTTTTGCTGTCTACCTTTTGTAGAACTCTGGTTTTCATGATTTTATATTAAATTGGTGACCATTTTAATTGGGTCTTCTTTACAAGGTCTGGTTTTCAAACATCCTAAAAAAAAAAAAAAAAAAGCTTGCCTCTAGTCTTGCTACTGTTTTTCAAATGTGTACATGAAGTCTTTAAAAAAAAAAAAAAATATAATAAACATGCAAAATTCTGCCTGTATCTCACACACACTTCTCAGTGAGGGCCCGACACTGGCTATACAATCAATATTTTGGCCAAGCTACTCTTCTCCTTTCACAGTGCCCAAAGAGTCAGTTTGAACTATAGCCCTAATTAGGTGTGAAATGGAGTAATGTCATATATTTAAAAGTCTGTATGTGAAAAATGATTTATTAATATGTCTCTTATTTTAGGAAGATGTGGAAACAGGAGTCCACCTTGATCCTGCTATCAAGGAAGTTCAATACAATCCCACTTATGATACCATGTTTGCACCTGAGGTAAGAAGCAGTATCTTTAGGGCATAAATGCCTTTTACTTAAAGGGCAGAAGTTCTATAGATCTTGTGTGAAATTCATATAAGACATCTCTTCTTTGGATGATTGCTGTATTTTGGGATCTAGTTTGGGCAAATTGAAAAAAGATTCTACACAGGTATGTTGGTATTTTTAATGCTTGAATTTTAATGTTCTGCATAAAGCTGTTCTAAGAAGAATCTTAAAGTGTTTATCAGAATTATAGCTACAGAATTTAAAAGTCAAGCTAAGAAATAGCATTATAAAGATGAGTAAAACATGAACTGCATTAAAATAGTCTCTTACTGTTTTCATTTTTGCTACTTATTGTGCTACTTAGAGCACGATGACTGGTTGTAAGTCTTGCAGATATGTGGCTTTTAAGAAGATTTAAAATTAAAATCCAAGTACTTTCAGTATAACTATTCACATCAGTGTTAAGTGTTATAGTAACTTAGCTATGCTAAATGTGTACAGTGAAAAATCATTTTAGACTGAATTTGGACTGCCTGGTGCTATGTGACCCACCTTCTATTTTATTATAACTGACAGGCTATCTGAAAGATAAAAATAGCTGTTCAAGCATTTAACTTTTTTTGGTATTTAACTTTGTACAGTTTGCCTTCTGTTAGACCCTGAGTTAGCATTCTAGAAAGGCTGCATCAGTCTGAAACTTCTACATTATTTATGCTTTATGTTTAGAATACCTTTTGTGGAACCACATAACTTGGCCTTTTCATAACAAGGTTGCATTTTGCAACAAACCAAAGCCATGAGGCACATGAGAAAAAATACTGATTTAAATTTACTACTTACCTTGCGTGTTTTAGTTAGGGAAGCCTAACGTGGGACAGTTTCAGGTGTCTGCAAATATGGCTGACAGGCATAGGCGTCACAGTTAAATTTAGTTTTATATTAGTCTCAGTGTATCGCATTTGTTTGTATTCAGTGTTCTTTTCCCTAGCCATGGGATGATCAGGAAGACTTGCATTTGTCATCTCGCCAGAAGAAAAGTGAGGCAGTGTTTCATAAGTGTATTTCCTGGAATAATACAGGAAGTCCACAGTTGCTTTTTAAATGCAGTATTGTTTGCAGTGTAATTTCTGTATTAAGTATGTGAGTTTAGTAGGACCTGGTATCTCTTTCTTAATAGCTCCCTCTTACAGGGCACAGTATGTTGGTACTGATCACATACTGAATGGCAACGTTTTGTGTCAAGTAGTTGCTATTAATGTGTCCTCTGTACCAGTCATACAGGCTAGAAAGTTCAATCGTGAAACAAGCTGTTCAAAGCAATTGTGTGAGCAATTACTGTGTAAAATGATAGGCTAAGAAGCTTACTCAGTAGTCATAAAGAAGTGATTTTTTCATCAGTTTTTGAAAGACAAGGGTTTTTTACTGTTTTTTTTCCTGAAAAATTACACACACGTAAATAAGACATTAGTAATTCTGATATACTTTTTTGAATTATTGATGTAGTTTGGACCAGAAAACCCATTTAGGACTCAACAAATGGCTGCACCTAGAAATATGCTTTCTGGATATGCAGAACCAGCTCACATCAATGATTTCATGTTTGAACAACAAAGAAGAACATTTGCAACTTATGGTAAGTTCTTAACCGTGGAATTCACCTCCAACTTTATTATGCCCAGGTTGGACAAAATAAGTTGTTCTCCATATAGGGCTGCAAGTTCTGTAAATTGCTTTTTAACAGACTTACTAAAATGGGGAAAGGTCTTTGAATGAGAATCCATATGGCTGGAGATCATAGTATTTATTTGGGAAATTTCATTTTTAATTCCTTTTGAAACTAATCAAGTGTATGACCTCCTACCAAACCCTTCTTAATCCTTCCATTAGTTGCATTGGTGTAAAGAAAACAAGTTAAAATTTCACACTTTTAATATGACAGATAACAGTAGATCTGTCATGCAAATAGATTCTTTCATGGGATTCCAACTAAAGGTAGCTCTCAAAACCAAAAGGAAGCCTTACTGAGTTGTCAGGTTCTTCATAGTAGTTGCCTCCAGACACAAGTTGAATGAACAGGAATTGAAGAGTGGGAATACATTGCTAAAATAATCTTTGCAAAAACAGACCCAAAGAACTGTTTGGTGGTGGTCATTATAGTTGCTGATTTCTTCTCTCAAAAGAACTGTTTCACTTGTAAATAGTTGCATTTGAAAAATAAAACATTTGAGTTTTGGAGAGGCTTGGGTTTCAAATAGACTTTTTATGGATTGTAAGAAAAATGGTTTTTTTAAATGGGGAAAATGTGGAAAGGCTATAGATTCTAAGCATCCTTTTTGACACATTTGAAAGAACAAAACTGCCATGTATTTACACATAACAATGGTTACTTTTTCTTCTGTATTTCATTGTAAGCTTTCATTTCTGTTTTAAACTTGGTTGCAAGTGCTTGTCTTGCCAATATGAATCTTTGTTTTCATATGAAGTATGCTTTATATTCTTCAGATTCAGTCTGTTAGGCAAGGTCTGATACTTCCGATATAAACTTAGTGTCATAACACTCAACTTCTTGCACAACAGATTTGCGTCTTTCTTTATTTGTATTTACATTCAAAATACTACTCCCTCCAAACTGTCATGCATCATAATCACCTCCCTACACACGAGTCCCCTTAAATTCGTAAGGGCTTTACCTATGTATGAATCACTTACTGCATTCTGTGATGGATGAGATTGGGCCTTTATTGCTAACATCTGTGGGAGCCATGTATTACAGTGAATCCTGGAAGAAAGAATTACCTAAAATCAGACTATAACATCCTCAGTTTCATTTTTGAAATTTGCATTTTATTAGAGGTTTTCCTGTAAATGTTAAAAATGTGAATATATTTAAGACTTTTTTTTTTTTTCTTTTACACAGTTTTAGCTAATAGGTACTTTTCACTGAGTTGTTTGGGTGTGGAATATAAGCCAAATGCCAATATTAAGAAATGGATGTCTAGTTGCATAACATAACTCTTAACTAGCTTGGCTGCAATTTTGATGTTAGAACTTGAAAGACAATGCAGGTAGGAGCCTATTCAGGATCTGAAGAGACAGGGTTTTTTTCTGTGAAATTAAGTGTTGCATTGTGTGGATTGTGCATTTTTGTATTTGTAAAACAGATACTGGAAAAAGGGATCTGTAAGCATACAGTGTGTGGTTTGGGGCTTTTTTTGTTTGTGAAGTTTAGTTTGGGGGATGATAGAACTATTGAGTCTACTCAAAGCTCCTGCTATTTGTTTATATCATCAGTGTATAGCAACTGCCTTGAAAGCTGTATTACAAGAGGGTATAAAAATATTTTTTTAAGACTGACAAATGGCAACTGTGCAACTATCATTCAGCTTTCTAGAAATGTTTAATAGATAATGATCTGGGTACGGTGAAAATGGAGCTATGAAAAGGCTGCTATATAGGCAGTTTAAGCTGTAAGAACAAGCACTGTGAGAAGCTGAAGTTCAAGCTAGAAGATGCAGTAAATGAGCATGATATACCTGGCTTAGTAGAAGGTCTATTAAAAACTGCACTCCTTTAAGTTGTCAAAAAGTTGTCTATTAAAAAATTCAATAATAGGTAATAAATATCTTCTTGAAAAAGACCAAGTATAAAAACACAAGTATAATTGCTAGGCATAAACCTAAGTCTTACATGTTTTTAATGACTAAGTCATAACATACTGGAAGAACAGAGAGTAAATTTCTCAAAAGCTGCAGATCTTGAGACCTCTGGCCTCTGTTAGGCTGTTTAAGGCAGGAGGTCTCAAACAAATCTGCAGTGGCTAGCATGTAGATGAGTAGTGGCTGTAAATGAATGATGAATGTGGTACAAGACAGAGCATGGTAAATGAGATCATGCATACAAAACAGCTCAACTGCTGCAGATTATTTTTTTTTAAAGAAGAAAAAACGCTTTATATATCATCTTGAAAGTTAATACATGTTTAGTGAGAAACCTATATATTAATCACAAACAAAACCCAAGAATCCAAGTATTTTTTGGCAAAAGTCTTTCTCATCTACTTCTCTTGCAGTAAATACTTACTGTTGAAAGTACTTTTTTCCTTGTGATGCTTGGATAGCTCAGAACATCCGTGCTGCCATTGAGTGAGGGATCTTCCAACCCTTTATCCTATTGGACAGGTGGGCAGCAGTGGGTGCCTAGTGATAAACAGAAGAAAAAAGAAAGAGAATAGTGATACATATTAATACTTCTTTTCAATATCCAGACTCAGTCAAGGGCAATGTCTCTCTATTAATTTTCAGTGAATTTGCTGGATTTGTTTCATTTGCTTTTGACAAATTTGTCCAGCTGCTTCTTGAACCCATATAATTTTTCTGTGTATGTAGTAACTTACTGCGGGTAGTTCTGCAGCTTGCCAGCACCTTGTGTGAGGAAGTACATCCGTTTTAAACTTATGGAACTTAACAGCCTTCTAGTTTGACTTGATATCCCTTAGTCTCTAGTTGGAAGATACAATGAGCAGTCATTTCTTATTCACCATTTCTGTGTCATTCCTTATTTTATAGATCTTTCCATTCCTTTCCATGCCTATGGCTGCGCTTGTTTCTCTTCTGTGCCTCCTCTAGTTTCACTGTATTGGTCTCAAGATGAATAGCAAAGCTGTGCACAGCATCTAACATGCATTCTCACTGTGAATTTGTCCTATGGACACTAAAGTGAGAGGCTTTTCCCTCTCAGTTTTTAAGAATTCTTAACATTGCCTTTTTCTCTATGACTTTGAGTAACTTTGTAAAAGCTACTTGCTCTCATTTTCCAGACTGTTTGTCAATACGTTCGTTGAACAGTGCCAGCCTGAGCATGGATCTGCCATCAACTTTCCTGTGCTGTGGAAACTGACCATTTATTCTTGCCAGTGTTTTAATAAATGTTAATCAATTAACCATGTAAAGACCTGTGGATTTTTTTATATCATTTTTGACGCACCCTGTAATCAGTCAGTTTCGTAAAGGTATCCAACATCAGCCAAGCTTTGCTCATTCACATGATTGTCACTTCAGAAATATTCTGGAGGTTTTGTCACTGTAATTTACCTGTACAGAAAGCTATGTTGTCTGCTCTGCTGCAATATATAATGCTCATCCAAGTGCCTACTTGTTTTCTTTATTACAGTTTCTACTACTTGAAACTTCTAACCATACAAATGTCTGTCTGGTTGACCTGTAGTTCCCCATACCTCCTCTGAAGCATCTTTTGAAAGTTGGCATCGTATTTGATATGTTACATTTCTGTCATATTGAGGTGATACTAGGCAAGATGTTTTGCACTGTGGTTCAGCTTTAGATCTCCTGGATGACTACCATCTGGTCCCAGTGTTTTGTTACCACTTATTTGATTATTTAGCCTTATGACATTTCACTTTGAGGTAGATATTTTGTCATATTATGCATAAAGAAAGGTTCTGGCACAGGAGCCTACCCAAGCTTCTCCATAATGAACATGAGTTTAAAAAAACCTCACTGATGTTCTCTTTTCATTCCTTGATCATCTGTTGGCCTACATGCTCTCTGGTATGCTTTCTGTCCCTGCAGTTTTTTACAAAGGGCAAGTGGTTTTTATACCTTATGTGACTTGCTCCTTGCTTTTTTTT